GCATATGACCTCTAGCATCGACGCAAGGCAAAACATGGTGTCCGAATAACGTTACGGACTATGCCTGCGAGGAGACGATCCGAGAGGGGACTATCTCTTTTCGTCGATATATTGTTCGGTTAGCAGGCAGGGCGGCAGTGGGCTTAGTGAACTGTATATAGTGTATTATTGCGGCGCCCGCAGCCATTGGGCGAGGTGTATGGAGTAGAATGTCGAATACTTCCAATTGGCATGATGTTCACCGATGTGTAGGTTTGGCAAGCAGCCAAGACGCACAGCATCTTCCCATATTCGACATTCCATGCCGAACTAATGATCAAGAGAATCGGTCTGGAAATTCTCAAGTTATGTACCCAGAAGAGAGAGTACTATATGATATGTCGTACGCCACCAATAATGAGCGGGTCAATACTACACCTGCTCCGTACTTTAGATTATTACTATGTGGGTGGTACTCGATACTCCATAGATATAAGACTGATACCTTTCCACAACAGAGTATACATCTTTAATCACTCTCAATCCCCAGATATATATACTATACTATACCCTTCCATCCTAATCACATTCCACCCACCACCAACACACCACCAAGACTTGAAACAGAAAGAAATAGACAATATGCAACTCAAACTGAACCTCATCTACCTCCTAACCCTGACCCTCGCCTCCCTCTCCGCTGCCTCTCCCGCCGCAGAAACCGGCGCAGCAGTAGCAGCAGGTACAGATTCCGGCGCACAACCCCCAGCGCCGACCTCTACTGGCAGTAGCAGCAGCAGCGACAGCGACAGCAGCAGTCCTTACCAACAATGCGCGAAGAAGTATACCTCCCTCCCTTTACCCCCAAACAAACCACACATACATACACATATACTAATGGAATAATGATTGTGGGAATAATAGTATCCTCGACGCCTGCCTCTCCCAAATGAAACCCCAAATGGACAAATGTTCCGATAATGATTGGTCGTGTTTGTGTACGCAGAGCAAGAATATGCTTACGTATGATACTTCCTTCCCCCCCATTCCATCTATACCCTATCTACAAACCACCATGGGAATTACTACTATGATATTAATATAAACTAACCCGGTGTTAATGTAGGTGTTACAACGACTGCCCCTCCGACCCAAACCATACCTCTGCGGACCAACAGAAAATGGAGTATTGTAATGCGGCGGAGGCGAATTCGCTGTATTCCACTTCTACTAGGGTTACTTCTTCTAGGACTGCCGTTGTGAGTAGTACCTCGTCTGCGACGAGTAGTAGGACTGCTGTGCCTACTAGTACTTCTTCGGGGGCGGCTGCGGCGGGGAGTGGTGTTAGGGTTGGGGAGGTGGGGATGATGGGGATGGGGTTGGCTGGGTTGGTTGTTGCTTTGGTTTAGGAGATTACTTACTTACTGTGTATACTACTATGTGGTAGGAGTGTAGTATGGTAGGGTTGAGGTGTGGGGATGATGTTGAATTGTTTGGAATGTATGTTAATGTTATGTGGTGGTAGGAGACGGTGGATGTAATGTTACTATTTACTTATTATCTGGTATAGATATTGATGGGTAATGTACGATGTGGAGGCTGAATAATGTATATGTATAATGCTTGCAAATGGGTATATGGGTATCAACGAAAATATCTCTCAAAAATCGACTGTATGCGTTTCCTCGCCCTCCATGCTCCTACTACCACTGCTCCCGTGGTGAATGTCCCTACGAGCATCCATTGGAATGGTCGTTCGGAGAACACGAAGAATGAGCTTGTCGAGCCGTCATCGATATCGATATCGGTTAACTCCTGTTTGTATCATGTTAGCATAATCCTGTACTTATATGTCAAAAGTGGCAGGGTGGCGTACGCATCCCTCAAACCCCCTCGTCACGCCCATTTCATTCCCCTCCAAATCCACCGCCATCAAGCGGAAATATCCCTCTCCTATCAAATCCACCTGCGTCTCGAATCCCTCTTTCGGCGTATACGCAACACTCTCAAACTCATCATCTCCCGCACTGGCATTCCTCGCCCGCTGCAGCACCCACCCTGCAATATCCGTCGCCCCGTTCCAGCTCACATATGCCGTGTCACCCGCCTCGTCGACCGCCACATCCGGCGGCACCCGCGGCCGTCCAACCCAGTGGAACTTTTGCGCGCGGTACGACTTGATCCATCCCAACCAGAAGAAGACGCGCGGCCCCCAGTGAAAGTCGCACAGCACTTCGCCGTCCACGGTGAACTCGGTGTACGCTGATGGCTTGCCCCAGCCGATGAAGACATGCCCGGTCCGGGGAAGCACCTGCAGGCTGCCCTGGGAGTGGCTGCTAAAGGAGCCGGGACTATCGTAGACGTGCAGGGTGTTGGCGGTCCAGTCGTCGAAGTTTAATTCGATCATGAACCCGCGGGTGTGGTCTCTAGTGTTGAGATGCTCGTGCGCTCCGTTGTCGAGCAGCGTGATGACTGTCTCGGACTGCCAGCGTGCGTCGTGCTGCCAGGTAATTCCCGTGGCGGACTTGTCCGGGGATATGTCCTTGAAGGTATTGCGTTTCCCGCCTAGCACCCAGAGGATCTCGCCCCAGGGGCTGATGCAGGTGACGGTGTGCATGTAGCGGGACGAAACGAGGTAATTTCCGTTGGGGTGCTTGTCGATGCTGTTGATGTGGAAGAAGTCGTAGGCGTCGTGGGCTGTTGGGGCGGAGCCTTTCTCGCCGAGGGGGTAGTAGGATTCGTCGATGTCGTAGTAATCGCTCGCTCGCCATTCGAAGAGCAACTCGCCCGTCGCAATGTCTATCTCTTGGAAGAGTCCGTCGTAAATCCAGCCGTCTTCGGGTCCGTCGACGGAGGAAAGGTCCGCCTCGCAAATGTCGTAGATGGTCATGAGCGCGGTGCCCTCGTCGGTGATTTTGAATTCGTGCACGTCGCCGGTATATCCGTTGGCGGGGGATACGATGTAAACGACGTCGTAGGAGGAATTTAGCTATGAATGATAAGCTTCGATCAATGCCAGTCAGTCATGCAGCTGCTACCTACCATGTAATATTGGCCGAGTCCACGTGTGCCGTCGTCATCGCCCGCCCAGAATGTCAGGTAATCCTCCCCCATGTAGCGTTGGACTTTGAGGTCCATGATCTGGCCGAATTCCCGCTCAATCCATACCAAATTCCCCTGGCTGTCGTAGACTAGCGGCCCCGGGTCTGGGTATGAATGGCCGCGAGGGCTAAGAAAAACGTATCCCTCTTCACATCGCGGGTCCCAGCGCAGGACATTGACCTCGGGGGATTCCTGATCAAAAGACTCATATTTCAGAGTGGGATGAGGACCCAGAAAGCCCAGGTCATACCAGAGGCCATGCCATGAGAAGGCCGATGCCAGTATGGGCCACAAGGCCCAGAGAACCAGCAGCACGGCCATCTACGGCAGATTGAAGCAGCACGACAGGGCAGGTAGTAGTCAATGAAAGAGAACTAGCCTGCCAGAGGAAGAAAGAGTCGTGCATGGCGGCGACGGAGAAAAAGGCGATACGCTGCAAACGGAGAGAGCGAGTGGGCGCGGGCAGTTAGGAGGTGGGACAGAGCATGACGCGGATAGTCGCAAATCATGGACCGAAGCCACCCAACGAGCGAACGGGAGAGAGGTTAGCCGGGCCCCAGACGTTCGTGTGGATGCAGCGCTAGACTGGAGTGGGATGACAGATTCGTAGGCATGTTGGCATTTCAGGATGAATTGGTGGGAGGCGGATCCACTGGTGGCAGCGCTAGTAGTGGAGAACCACGCGGACGGACAGTTGAAAAAGCCAATTATAGTGGGATGTGATGAGAAGCATCCAAGGATTCGGAGTCGGAGAACCTTATCGCGTCGGTTATAATAAAGCAGGACGGAATGGAATTGGTACGGACTCGATAGTAGAAAGTTGAATGTGGAAGTCTGAAAACGGATGGCGTTGCGAATGCGGCACTTGAATAGTAGTACTAGAAGAGAACGCCAACAGGACAGGTGACAGTTCGAGTACGTATGCTATGCACGCCACTGGAGTTGCAGATGGCGAAATGGATCATGATGGATAATAATATACCAGTTATCAGGCAGCATTAATCTGGCGACCGCGCAATCTCTGGCTTCCCCGGCGGTTTGCTGTGCAGTTGCATCCAAGGATCGGTTTGCCATCGGAGAGAGAGAAAGAGACGATGCAAATGCCAACCGAAAACGGAATGCATATCATGCCAAGAATGATAGTATAGTTGAAGCAATTAAGGAGATGTTTCAGAGCCAAGAATGAATCCAGTTTAAACTAAACCCCTGAGTGTGACCCTACTCACGTGATCATTGCCCATTTCTTGCCCCAGTCTCCTCCAATCTATAAACAGTGCTATTTGAGGTAGTAGAAGGCACAGCAATCCCCAGAAAGTAGCTACACCACTCGTAGCACCCAAGCCAGGCTGTCATCAATCATGGCAGCCATCTGTACACATGAATTCTTCACTTGGTATGGGCATAATATAGTTCTGCAGCTTCCTTGGCCCGTTGAAGTCTGGTATGTATGTATCCTCATCTCCCTTGTTCTAGGGTTCCCCCACGGCCAGAAATTCCCTTGTGGGTCGTTCTGTGGATTCACCCATCGTCGGGGGAACCTCTGGCATGATATTAAGCATGTATTCATTAATAATGAGAAGCTGAATCATTCGTATTCGGGTTTACACCGTCAGGAGCTCAGACCCGCCTTGATTTCACATATTTGCGGGGACAACTAGACCTTCTACAAACATATTGCTGTGTATATTGGTTCCTAAACTAACTCTTGCTTAGCCAACTTCATTTATTTACATTAAATGAGATCTATAGTCATCTCGGTGGCATCTACACCCAAACAGGTGATTTATACCGAGTCCGAAGTCAACCTACGTATCTCATGCACGTCAATGGAGCAGCTGATGGCGAATGGATCCTAATCTTCCACTAAATGAGTACTTATCACAACCACAATTTCCATATCATATAACAATACTCCATAATCAAGCAGGATTGATCCTGCGACTGTCCAATCTCTTGCTTCTCCGTCTGCCTTCTCCTGTTGGCTGTTCATCCTCCAACTTTCTCTTTTCCCTTTTAGTAGTTTCTTCCTCTTCCTCCACCTTCATTCCCTCAGATCTCTTCTTATCACCACCACCACCATCCCCATCCCCATCAACACTCTGCCCACCCCCCAACAAAGCATAATAATACCTCACCACCAACGCCACCTTTTCCACATCCAACCCAGACACTCCCTTTTCTTTCCCTTCTAACCTCTCCTTCAACCCTTTCACCCCCTCCCATAACTCTCGATACTCCTTCATCGTATACTTGACATTCAACTCGCCATTCAACCGTTTATACACCCCTCTTTTAACTCTATCTGCTGCTTCAGCCTCTGCTTCAGCCTGAGCCTCTCCCTCCCCAGAACCAGAAGTAGAAGGAGACGGAACCTCCTCCATACAAACCCACAAATACACATCATCGCTATAAAACGGTACATCCGCAGTAGAAGCAAGCGACAACACCAACGAAGCCGTAGCCACTCCCACGCCTCGTAACGCTTTCGTCAGGATATCCAACGCTTCGCTTGGAAACTTCTTCTCCTCCTCATCACCTTCCTTAGAAGTATGATGGGCGGTGAGAGCTTTAAATGCCTTCCCTGTAGCATCCCTAACCACAGCCTCTGAATTCGAGCGTATCATGCCTAGTAATGCCGGACGAAAGGTGCCATGTTGCCTATCCCCAAATCAGTACCATAATCATCATCATGTTATATAAAAGTATATTAGATGAACAGGGTAGGGGGTTATACATCTTCCACTCCATCAACTTCACCAACTCGTCTTTCTCCAAGTACCCATTCCCATCCTTCTCTGCTCTCGTAGCAACCATCCCCGGTAATCCCTCATACCTAAACCCATCGAGAGCCAAGAACTCATTAGCTTTAGCAGTAATGAACTCTTCTTCTGCTTCTGATCTCGTGCCTGTTGCTGTCCAGGATGATTTCTGTTTTGTTTTTGGTGCCGCTGCTGCCGCTGCCCCTACCGGTTTGCGCTTGATCTTGGCGGCGGCTTTGCGGCGGGAGAGAAGGTCCACTTTTTTTGGGTAGAGGGATAGGAGGTGTTGGAAGGTTTGGGGGGTGATGGTTTGGGGGTGGAGATCCATTGTACTTTGTATGATTATTGGTGTGTTGGTTCTTTTGGGTAGAGGTAAGATGGGGGATGACGGTTGTGGTTGTTTGGGGATTATGGAGCTGCGGATGGTTTGGCCGCTTCCGAGCGGTAGGGCAATCTACAATCTAGTATTCCAGAGTTCACTACAATGTAGGTAAATTCCAAGCATTTAATACAGGCGTCTACTAATCATCATATCCGCCATCGCTAAAACATCCTAAACCCCGGCCGCTCGCAAAATTCCTGACCGCAATTTATCAAGTACCTAAAGTCCATACATGAAGGAAAGGAGAGTATCCTCATACATTAAACACGTGCAAATCTATCGTTTATCGTCCGCTAGGCCGGCGCGGACTGTCCTTCTTGCCCTTGGCAGGGCTCGCATCCGGGCTCGCAAAGCTCACGCGCTTCTCATCCCGGCTGCGACTCAATGGTCCCAGTGAGGCCGACATGACCCCTTCTTTCTTCTTCTTGTTCCGGCGCCGGAACATGCCCATGTCCGACTTGGCCTCTGGCGGCGTCGTGGACGTCGTGCTGTCCTCGTCGTCCTCCACGCCAATATGACCGAAATCCTCCTCCGCATCACCCGCCTCCGACGAGCTAGGCCCAGGGCTCTCCGAATCCGAGGCCGCTTCATAATCGTCGTCATCACTGACGAGACTCGGCGCCTGGTTCGATTCCATGGTAGTTGGGCTGAGGTTGGACGAGGGCTCGGTCCCGTCCACCTCTCGCAGCCCGTCGAGCTGCGGCGGCCGGGACACCGCTCCATAAGGAGATTGATAGGGAACAGGCTTGGTCGGGGTTAATGACTCAAAGGAAAAAGGGTTGTGACTCGTTTTATCGAGCCCCTTGCGGCTGCCCGGGCGCTGGGGCGCAGTCTGCGAGGCCGTGGTCCGCATGGGTTGCCTGCCCGCACGGACTGCAGCCGCCTTCTGCTCGTGACTCATCGCTTCCGGTGGTGCCACAGACTCGCTGTCCGACTCGCCATCGTCCGAAGAGTACTCGCCGAGATCCACTGTTGTCTTTGCCTCCCCGACCAACCGATCAAGGTCAAGCCCCACGCCCCGGGACTGCATGAGAGACGACAGGTGAGGGGTGGCGGGCGAGCCCATGAACGAAGTGTGACTCGAAGTGGCAGCGGCAGCAGGTGTGCTGCGGTGGTTTTCCAACTGGGGACGGGCAGCCGCACGAGGAGTTTCCACCCCGGTCGATGCCCGTCGACTCGGGCAGGATCGCTTCCGGGGACTTGCGTTACCGCCCGCGGCTTCAGACGCAGAGGACGGTGTTTTAGATGATGGCTCAATGCCATGTGCAGTTCGAATCAGCGGGTGGACGAACCCGCCGGTGCCTGCTGTACTGGAGCTCTCCACCCGGCCGCCAACAACGGCGCCAGCCTCATCGACTTCAACGGGCTTGCCAGACTCCATCGCCGCTGCATCATGGCTGGTATAGTTCCGACTATGTGCAATGCGACAATGGTTGATGAATCCTTGGGTGCTGGAGAAATTGTCCCGACCGCAGTCCAGACACACCAGCTTGACGAGTACATTATCCGACTTTCGTCGAATAAGCATGGGACCAGCCTTGTCCTTGGGTGCTGGGTAGCCGTTGGGCAGAGCCTGGAGCTTAGCACTTGCCGAGCCGCGCTGAGGCCGTGTCTTGCCAGCCAGCGAGCCCAGATCGCCCGAACTCCCCCGCGTCGTGCGGCCTTCCATGAGAGGTAGCCCACTGAGAGGAGTATCGGGCTCAACTTCGCCACCGTCGAATCGGGGATCCGGTAGGAGCCATCTAGAGTAGTGGCGCGAGTAGGGACCCTCCACGACACCCCATGGCGCGGGAGACTGCGGCGCAGGTCCATTTTCAGGAGCCCAGACCGCGACACCCGTACCATTGCTGACCGACTGCGAATAGCCCGCCACCCTGGATCCCGGATATGGTATCTCGGCACATCGACGGAGTTGTTCCAGCGCGACCTGGCATTTGGCAATCTCTTGATCGATCAGCCTGAGCTCATTGTGTTTCAACAACACCTCCAGACTCAGCTGCGCTTCAAGGGTTTCGCGTAGCGTGTCCGTGTCGATCTTTGGGGAAGTGCCGCTCTGCTTCGTTATCTCCGAGGCATTTGTAATCGCGCTTTGACCAGATTGCGACGGATGCGACGACTCCGAGATCGGCTGGGCGCGACCGTCCGGCCCAGCTTGGTGCGACACCGTCACGGCGCTGGTGGCAGGTAGGGAAGGGTCTTGCTGAAGGCTGACGGGTTTTGAGGGCGCATCGTCGGCGCGCAGCTTGGTTGCGACCGGGGCATCTCGAGCGGGGGCGGAATCGCTAGAATCAGAGCGCTTGCGCTTCAACTGCGGTAAAGGCAGGCCACTGACGCCCGAGGCGGCGCAGTGCGGCGAGGTCGAGAGCATTTTAAGCTCCTCGGCCATCACCTTGTTGCCCCCGATAGCAGAGGACCAAGGAAGCAGGCGAAACATGCCATGCGAGGTTGAGCGCGGAAGAATGTAGAGAGGCGGATCTGCGCAAATGCGACGGGAATGCGACAAGTTAGAGGCGCCACGTAAGAAGCACGGTACAGTCGAAAGTTGTTTGCCACGCAGACCCCATGCACCTGTGCATGCAAATGCGATCTAAATCCGGGGGAGGAACGATGGAGTAAAATGAAGGGAAGAGAGGAGCAGGCAACGAGGGAATGAAGGTTGCCGCCGATCGGTCAGACGTCGTTGTTTGCGACCGGTGGGAACCCAGCAAGGGGGAGAAAGGAAACACGGGGGGAGCCCCAACAAGAAACGGATAGCCGGAGCTCCGACAGTAAAAGCATGCAACAAGGCTGCTGCGTGAAGACGTAAGATTATTGGATCAGACTGGGGGAAGGGAGTTGGAAGGGCAACTAGGATTGGTCGAAAAAGGAAGAGGGATATTGATGATAAGAGTCCGGGCTGTCTGGATCCCCAAGTATGACCAGATTAAGTTGGGAGGGGAAGAAGGAACAGGACAGGAGAGAGCGACCAAAAAGCAGTGAACAAAGACCAGCAGAATAATAAAGACCGGTCGGAGTTCTGGAAGACACAGCGAGAGCGTCCAAACTATCAAGCAAAACCTAAAGAGGAACCTCCTTCCCAGGCAGGTCACATGCACGCCGGGAAGGGGAAGCCAGCTGAAGCGGATCCACGGCTAGGCAAAGTAGTAGTAGCAGCAGTAGTAGTGATTGATGGGTGGTAGAAGTAAGAGGGCAACCCTTCCCAGTTCCCACGGGATGGTAATGGTAAGTAGGTTGGGCGGTGGCGTAATCTATTAATAATAACCAGTGGTAGATACTAGTTATTCTAGTGTGGGTGTGGATAGTAAAGTAGTTCGAGTGGAATGAATAGATAGCACCCGAAGCTAGTAGTAGTAGGTAGTCAAACCTAAGAGAGGGAGGGATCGAGAGGAGTGTTGTTGAGAGAGAGGGAGGGAGAGTACGGTTGGGAGAAAAGAGAGAGAAAGAATGGGAGGGAGGGGGAGAGAGAGAGAGAGAGAGAGAGAGAGAGAGAGGAGTACCAAGGGAGACGAAGGAAGGCGGACGTTGTCGGGTTAGAAAACGGTTGTGGTAATAGTAGCCAGAATAATAATCATAATCTTGAATAATTATGTTGATGTTGATGATGTTGTTGGTGGTGTTGTTCAGGTCAACCTGGAGGGAAAATACCGTTAAGAAAAAAAGGCGACTATTGGGAGATAATTAGGAACCCGATGAGAGGGGAATTTCAATACTTACGGAAGTCCGACCAGGGACCAAACCGGTTTGAGAGGCGAAAAAAGGTTAATTGGGAAGATGAAGGATTTTGGTTGAGTGGAAAGGGTAAGTAGGGAAAAGAAGTTGGGAGAAGAAGGAAGAACCCGGGATACGGGAGTGGAGGAAGTATTCAAGGGAGGGAGGCAGAAGAGGGTGGTGGTGGTGGTGGTGGTTTAGTCAGTCAGTCAGTTCAACTGGGGGGGAAAGAAGAGGAAAAAGAGAGATGGGATTAGTTAGTTATTCTCTCATCATGATTACAATATGTGAGTGTGAGTGACTACTTGTGACAGGGGAGGAAAACCGGGCGACAAAAGGACCATCCAAAAGCGAGATGCAGTACTAGAGTAGTACATACATACATACAGTACTACAGCTGCTGCTATTATTGATGGAGGAGGATGACACGTCGAATCACTGCCTGAACGAGTGGAGCCCATGATGTGATGCCGGGCCTGGACTGGGCCATGGATGCCCGGGGTATTGGCCGCGCTAACATCCGCTCTAGCAGGGGTCTTTTGCCGCCCACAAAGTACCATACATACACCCATACACCTATACACCCATACATACAGCGGGCGGGTTTCTATTCTTTCCAATTCCTACCCATACCCGTACTGGTATGAAACCCCCCGTCTCGTTACATTGCTGCATCTACCCGGTCAAGTACCCTCCGTCTGAAAGTTGAGACACTTTCAGGTAGATTAAACACACACTATTGTACTCCCCAACTGCCCTAGTTATAACATGGATTCTCGCTTCCTCTCTCCCAATCTGCTGGCTATGTTTGCCATGAAAGACATTCCTTTAAAACCCTGTGACACTCCCAGTCAGACATTTAGGCTACCACCACCACATTGCACTGCCTACCGATGCCAATTCGCTCATGACAACTCGTAGTTCCATGGATCTGTTCCTCAACCACCCGATTTTAGGTTCACTACACATGGGCATTGTTCCCTTCCCACTATCTGGCTCTCACTCGCTCTCGCACCGTCTGTCTTTCACTCCTTTTCCACCAGCAGATCAGACCCGGGATCGGCGGTTGAGCAAGGCTCGTTACATCATCCACTCGCGTCCTTGTCTGCCTATCATCTCCACCAGCCACAGCATAGCTTGCGATTGAGTTCACGCCAGCACTGCTTCATGGCACGCTTGCTCGTTGGTGCTCCACCCCCAGACGCCCCCTAAGGGATTCCTGCCAGAGGAGGGGCACTCAATACGAAGTCGCTCCCACAATAGGGGATTTATCACAATGTGCCACCGTCTATATCACAGATTTTAATGCCTGAGGCCGACAGCTTCCAACCCTCTCGCATCCAACATGGCCTGTCGCTTCATCCTCATTGCTGGGTTGCCGTTGACTAGCATCGCAATGACCGACTGAGAAAGCCGATTTTCAAACCTGCTTTTCAAGCACTCAAGCGGTTGACTGTCCTAAGATATAATCTGGCAGTGTGCTGACAGTATGCTTCCATCTGCTTTCGATGAGATTCATGCTGACGGCTTAGAGGCTCGAGGCGTTGGGTGCTCCCGGTTTATAACCACGGTAATCTCTTGGCCTCAGGTGCCTCTGCCGTCGGGACACCCGAGAATCTCACCTCTCATCGGACCTCATTATCCCGAGGCATGGAATTTCCGAGTCATCCTTCAAAGGGGATGATTTTGAACGTGTTGATCCTCATCTGAGCGGGAGGGGGCCGTTATTCGGATGTTTCTCAGGTGCCGACTGCAGAATAGATTCCCTAAGCCTATTTCCCCACACCCCGCACTACGCTCAAATTAATTCGTCATGCGGGAATTTTTGCGCGCCGGTGTCTACTGTTTATAGCTAGTGAAGACAATCTTCATGGCTCATTTAACCGGCGCTCGCTGTTATTGCTGTATTCGGTCTTTAGGTCAAATGACGGACGACCTTGGCCATATTGAGCTCCTCGGATGGCCCGACTTGGGACCTTGGCTTCCCTCGTCGTCGAATAACCTTTTGGCTCAGTGCTAAGCATCCTTCAACTCAGAGCTAGCTAAAGAATGGCTCGTCGGGTTATCCAGATGTCTCGGTCCGGGACAGAGGCCATGTGCCGGCAGCACAAGCATGGACGAGATATAAGAAGTGCTGGAACTATGCCGACAAATGAAGCTATACCACCGGTCCACACCATCCATCTCCTCTGAGACTTGCGCCCAATGTACAATCTACTAGGGTTCCTCGCTGCGCTGGGCTGCGCGCAGTCCGCCCTCGCAGCCCCCCTCGCCAGCCCCCCAAACTCTTCTTACTTCGACTGGCGCACCTTTAAAGGCAACGGCGTCAATCTCGGCGGCTGGCTCGTGCAAGAGTCCACAATAGACAGTTACTTCTGGGACAAATACTCCGGCGGCGCCTCCGACGAATGGGGTCTCTGCGAACACCTCGGCGCCCAATGCGGTCCCGTCCTCGAGCACCGCTACGCGACCTGGATCACCAAGGCCGACATCGACAAGCTCGCGTCCGCCGGTATCACAGTGCTGCGCATCCCCACAACCTACGCCGCATGGATCGACCTCCCCAGCTCACAACTCTACTCCGGTAACCAAACGGCCTACCTCCGAGAAATCGCCGACTACGCCATCAACACCTACAACATGCACATCGTGATCGACACGCACTCCCTCCCCGGCGGCGTGAACGGCCTGACCATCGGCGAAGCCACCGGCCACTGGTACTGGTTCTACAACGAGACCAACTTCAACTACTCGTTGCAAGTAATCGACCAAGTGATCAACTTCATTCAAACCTCGGGATCCCCACAATCCTACACCCTCGAGCCCATCAGCGAACCCGCCGACAACAACACCAACATGGTCGTCTTTGGCACGCCCCTCGCCCTGACGGACCACGGCGCCGCCTGGGTGCTCAAGTACATCCGGGCCGTCATCCAAAAAGTGGCCTCGGTGAACCCCAACATCCCCGTCATGTTCCAGGGCAGCTTCAAGTACCCGCAATACTGGGAGGGAGATTTCCCCGCGAGCACGAATCTCGTCTTCGACACACACCACTATTACTACGAGCATATGGATTCCACGTCGGAGAATCTGCCCGAGTATATTCTTGCGGATGCGCGGGAGAAGTCCGGCACGGGCAAGTTCCCTGTGTTTGTGGGCGAGTGGGCGATTCAGGCGACGTATAATAATACGTTTGCGCTGAGGAAGAGGAATGTGTTGGCCGGGTTGGATATTTGGCAGAGTTATTCCCAGGGGAGTGCGTATTGGACGGCCAAGTTTACGGGAAATACGAGTGTGGATGGACAGGGGGAGCAGAAGGATTATTGGTGTTATGAGACGTTTATTGACGAGGGGTATTTTAACTGAGCTGCAGCAGCAGTTGTTTAGTTGTATGATTGATTGAATGTGATGTATATAGGTATGAAGAGATGAATGTGCTCATGAGTGGGTACTATTGATGACTTTTGACAAACACACTAGTTAAAACACAGTCTAGACTCGTAGGAAAAAGAATGCTCAATACTACTAACAAACAGCATGAAACAATACATAATCATCTTCCTTCAATTCCCTCCCCAACAACTCATCCATTGACACAGTTATACCCAATACCATTCATTCCCATCCACTCAGCCCACCAAAATACATATAAACCAGCGACCAGCACCGATCAATGCCTTCCCCATACCCTCACCCCCAACACACAAAAATCAGCTAATGAAAGAGACGAATCACTCCACCATCCTCAACACAAAATTCACCACGACGGCCGCCAAAAGCGCCATAGCGAGGATGGTCGGCCCGAAGCGATCATCAATCCCACTCTGGCCTCGTTTGCGAATACTCTGCGCGCGCCAGTGGAAGGTCACCAGCGCATAGATCATGGCGGCCATGGCGATGACGGTGAACAGACCGGCGGAGATGCGGCCGATGCGGTCACCGAAGTTCAGCAGACCGACGGCGAGACCGCCTAGGATGACGGTGAAGTTCAGCCATGAGAGGAAGGTGCGCTCGTTGGCGAAGAAGACTTTGGGTTCGACGCGTGTGGGGAGGGCGATTCTTTTGCCTGTTCGGTGTTGGTTAGTTTTGAGGGGTGTGAGGATGGGAGAGGAAAGAATTGAAGGGGGTGGGGGATTGAGGGGAGTGGGATTGATTACCTGGGGCGGTTTGGAGGAGTGGTTGAGAGGACATTTTTATTGTGAGGTGGTGTGGTGTGGTTGTGAGAGGATTGTAGCAAGGGAGAAGGAGGAGGAGGAAGAAGAGGAGAGGGGATAAGTGGTTGTAGTGCAGGTAGCTAAGCTAATTGGAGAGCTGCAGCAGGTCGTGTGACTTGTTTCTTTTCTTGTCTGGGAGAGAGAACGATAAGAGAGTAGGAGATAGGTAGAAGATAGAGAGAGGGAAGGGAGAAAAAGAAAAGAGAGAGAGAGAGGCAGAAAGAGAAGAGAATTCTGCACGGAGTAACTAATTGCAGTGGTGGTGATAAGACGCCAAACTAACGTTAGATTAGTTAGTGAGTTAGTTCTCTAAAGGAGGGAGACAAGAGGAAAGAAAGATTTAAGCTCCGGGGGGATTGATGTAATAGCCATGATTGGTACTGGACAGTAAAAAACAGCACTGGATCGAGACGAGCTGCTCGCTTTCCCCGCTTGACGCCCGACACTTTGCCCACTTCAGGTTTAGTGTAACGCGCCGCGGCTGTTTCTGCCGTGCTTCACCGCCGGGTAGCGCGCACGTGCCGCAGTCTGTTGTTGTGATTGCCCGGTTGGCCCCGCCGGTGCCGATTGGTCTGGGGTCTACTTTACTACTAGTATGAATGTATGATAGCTTGCGGTTAAGGGGGGAACTGAAGTCCTAGGATGCAGACAAGAGAGGTCATGGATCTACCGTGCAGCGGAAGTCTTTTCCTGCAGTCTTCTCTTGACTTGTTCAGCCTGATGCAGTGGGTTGTCAGGATCTAGTGCGGTGGTGTGTGCAACAGTCAAGAACTGATACAGATCAGAACGGTGCCTGTTGGCTATTTTCGTTATAAGAATAGAACGGTGTGTGTGCTTTATGAGTCAGAGACCTAAGATTGCCTGAGTGTATCTGAGCATACGTGGGCTTTTGGGGCCGCAGGTAGCTGCGGGTGTTGATGGCGTTATTGACGTTGTTTGTAGCCATTAACTTGAAGGTGAACGCTTGAGGAGATCTTTCAGCATCTGTGAGAAGGTAGAAATTTATATCAAGCAAAGGAGAGGTCTTTTGAGGATCCTTGGTTAGGCAATGAAAGGCTATTCTTGATGGGTCTGTATACAGTGCTTGAGAAGTATCAAGACACTGTGAAGGATGATATGTGACGAACGCACTTTGGCTGCTCAAACACTAAATGAGTTATCTGCGCCTTTGCTAGAATCCCACTAGAGGTGACATGTCTGTAAGCCATGAAGCAGATATACTGCAGTGCTTTGATCAAACCGAGTCCAATGTGTGAAAGAAGGTGCAAGTTCACTGCTGCCGCAAATGAATAGATCAGTATTTATGCACATCCTCCACCCTAGGTGTACTAAGCACGAACATTTCCCCGTGATTTCGAGGCATCATGCTTCCCAGTATGTGAACTACTCCACTTGAGCTCGCATTTAACTGTGGCCAACGAGATCGGTGGCTAGATTGAAGATTGGCTAGACTTTTTTAACTTCAATTCCTCCTAGATGGGGTACGTGTACAACTGAAAGTGTACTGGGGTGATGGCTAGTTTAGGTGAGTGATATTGTAGAATATATATAGTGTAAATTTGCATTTTACCTCTATTGACAGAGCTTTCATGTGAATGAAGTATTTCGAGCAAGGGTCGACGTAATTGGAGTAGGAAGGTCGAGTTGGGGTAGGAATGTCGTGTTGGAGTAGGGCTGCTGTGTTGGTAAGGTCCGTTGGTTGGAGTCGGTTACAGCTTGAGTGGTTGGAGTAGATATTCATGCTGCGTGCAGCATTTTACACCTATCTTAACTGCCAGAGATATTATTAAATACCGAGGCTATGCATTATAAAATGCGCGTTTGGGTTAGAGAAAAAAAATCTAGGGTGTGGGTGTGATTCGGGTCTTGTTGAACGTCAGGATCCGTATCCATCCGTACAGCAGCATGGACTCCATCTTTACTGGCAACATTGATTCCATCAAGGCAACTAGGCAGGATCAGAGAGCTATTAGTGGGGTCAGGAAAATGTTGGCAACTGGTTGGCATCAGTGCTTAAAATACGCACAACACATCCAGTAAAGCATTCCTTTTTTTTGCGCTATGTCCATCTATACAATGACTTTCTTCTACCTAATAACCACAATATCATTGTTATATAGTTGCTCCAACTGATGCAATTGAGAGTACCAGGGACCCCCTTGAAGAAATTACGATCCGATGATAATTATTAATACTATCACCGGCTCCAATTGATGTCTCCAAATATCACTGCGCGGAATTTTAAGTTCGCAGCTCCATTAAACGTTTTCAGAAACAAGACAGTGGAGAACCTAGAGGGCATTATTAAGCCCTGCCATAGTAGTAGATTATTAAACCAAAGTATCATTCGAACAATATTTCGATTATAAAAGGCACATACCCTCTAATCAGAATCCATCAACATGCAAACATTTCTGAAAAGGTCCTTATCCACAATGACCAAACCTCTACTCCTCCACGCCCACGCTACGGGCCCCAACCCCATCAAGATCGCAATCGCTCTCGAAGCCCTCAAAGTTCCCTACGACGTCCAACAGTGGGAATTTGGCGACGACCCTAAAAAGGGCGTCAAAGGCGAGGCATACTTGAAGATCAACGAGAATGGTCGGCTCCCCTCCCTTCAGGACCCGAACACGGGCGTCGTGGCCTGGGAATCCGGCGCATGCATGAACTACATCCGCCGAGTGTATGACCGCGAGGGGCAATTAGGTCCCGCTGGTAAAAAAGAGCAGGATATTGTCGACTTGGAGAAATGGGAGTATTTCGTGCTCACTAATTTGGCGCCGATGTTGGGTCAGGTTAATTGGTTCAGGTACTTCTATCTACCTACTTGGTTGACAAGTTCACAATAGAAATCGTGCTATGCTAACATAACATCAAGGAATTACCATGAAGTGAAGAACCAGGATGCGCTGGATAGATATTCAGCGCAGGTCTATCGCTGCTTTGGGGTGTTGGAGGGGCAGTTGAAGAAGTCGAACGGAGAGAGTATTCTGCCCGAAAAGATTACCGCCGTGGATTATCATGCGGAGCCCTGGGTTAGGCAGTATACTTTTGCGGGTCTGTCTTTGGATTCCTACCCCCTTCTTCAGCGTTGGCTGGCTGGGATGGCTAAGCTGGAGGAGGTGAAGAGAGGGTATGTGAAGGTTAAGGGACAGGGCCCGGAGTAGACTCGTGGCTAAGTGGTTGACGGCAATTTCCATGGCTAGAGAGTGCGTTATTATGTGGAACAATATTTTTCTAGTTAGGATAACAGTATTTAGAACCAATTACTCGACAGGCCAAGCACTTTGTAGTGTATATATAGTATTAAGTATGTGTAGCATCGACACAGTATACATCAAACATCACAATCCCAGGGTATCACTCAAAAAGTACTATCAAACCCCATCATACCACCACCTAAAACTCAACGACCCCATAAAGACGTGTAACATCCTCACACAGCCTTTCAAGACTGAACTCCTTATAATAATCCCTTGAACCCACCGGGAGCCGCTGTAAAAGGGACAATTTGATGGTCAGTTCAATCAGCTGAATTATCTCCGAGATCTTCTGCGGAGTGGTATTTGGTCGATATGCATCTCGATAAGGCTCTAAAAGGCCTTCAATCTCGGACCTGTCGCAGACCTTGTTGCACATATCGAATCGTTGCTCGAGAAGCGGGAAGAGTTCGTCTTTCTCGATTGAATACATCTTGTCTCGATGTTTGAGATATTCCTTCCTGCGGGTGACTTGTTCTTTACTCAGGGCAAGTGACATGTTGAAGACTGCAGGATGCTAGTGAGCCGTTTGAGGGGGTGGGGAATGAATATGTCTGTGTGCTCGGTAGGGCTTTAGTTGTGGTTGCTGTATCTTTGCTGGGTTGCAAGGTTCGATTGAATACTCAGGGGATTGACCATCTACATCTATGTCTATATAGACTGCCAGTTAGGCATCAAAACAAAGAACCTGGTGAAATAAGACATGCATTCTATTGGCATTGTTCAGCCATGGTTTGCTGTGGTGAAAGTACTACTAGTTGCCTTCACGATAATGTAGATATTCAGGCAACTAACTGCATCCTATAATTCAAAGTATTATAGAGTATCGAAAGGTGCTCCGCTCAAGGGTGATTCACAGAACCATATAACGGGGCCATATAGAAAGTGAATATGCTCATCTCGATATATATGTATAGCAGAGATGAAAGTTGAACTTAATTCTCGGTTCGTTCCAAGCATTGCGGGCAGCTTTCATGGCCACATCCTCCACAGAATACCAAACATTGTTGGTTAATGGTTTAGTTGAACAAAGGAAATTCAGGACATAAAGAAGCCTTTCAGAACGACATGGAGTTTATACAATTCCATCCGAGAAAACAAACATAATTTCAGTGTACCAGCCGAGTACACAACGTGACTCTGGAATCAGAACAGATACTGTAGTAAGTTTAATATGTTCATTGGGTGGGAGGTTACGTTGCTCAATGACGCTAACCACAGCATAGTGTATATACAATCCCTGGCATTTAATGTACGAGCCACACTCCAAGCCAGGATACAGCTATCCATAGGCAACTTCCGCTTCCATTCCAGGGCAATGCTTGCTTAATGCCAGGAAACAAATGGACAGTCCGAAACCCCTCCATGGTTTGATTGACCATGTCACATAAATAGGGACTGGTCGTCTCCGTATCCAATCTGTCTGACATTGACCTAGGACTCTCCACTCACCCTCTACTCCTGAGAAATTCCAATCAATTCACACCATGTCCGATACATACACCGGCTATGACGAGTGCGGATGCAGTTTGGCGGAGCAATCGATGCGCCGGCATTACAACCCCATAAGATTTATCCGCGGCTCGCGAGCAGGAGGCGTATGGGCAATCGGCACCGATTTGATTTTGAAAGCACACCCCAAGTTCGAAGATTCTCTGGAAAACGAACGTCAAGCGCTGCATCTACTTGAAGCTCATCCCCATATCCCAGCACC